GTGTCTGTAAGAGCGAGTCGTTAAAGGTAAATGTCGCCAGAACTATGTGTATTCTTCCCTGCGCTATCTGAAGAAATATTTAAGTATCGAATGTGTACACAAAGCTTGCTACACGCTGGCTGAGTAAGGGGAAGCTGCTACACGCGATCTCACATTTGGAGTTCATGTTTCTGTTTTGTTTTACTTTTTTAAATACCGGAATACTAATTTTTTCCCAATTTGAATTTACGTTTCCTGGCTTGTTCTCTTCTTCCTTTTGTGCTAATCAGAAAGTCATTCAGTTAAATATATGCCGAGTATGTTCAGTCTATTTTTCTTATCTCTTCTGAATTATATACGTTGGTGTATATATATATATATATATATATATATATATATATATATATATATATATATATATATATATATATATATATATATATATATATATATATATATATATATATATATATATATATATATATATATATATATATATATATATATATATATATATGTACCTGAATACACCTGCTTTGGCGTGTAGACATCTTTATCTCGATAAAACCGTTTGTATCAATAACTTTAATAGTCTTCGAATGGACCAACTGGTTGCTGTTAAATGGTTATTATATTTGTGCACAAGATAGTTACAACTACAACCTCTACCGCCCGATTTCAACAGTCTCACTCCATTTTGTCATTTCTTTTTCACCCCCCCCCCCCTCTCCCTTTCCCCCGTTCTCTCCTTTCTCTTTTTACTCTGTCTTTCTCTTCTTTTATCCCTATCTCTCTCTCTTGCTTGGAGTGCCAGTCTTAATGTAAACGGTTTTTATAGCTGTGTCTCCTATTTTTGTAGGAAATTACCTTTGATTTAGAATTAACGCTAAATCTTCAAAGTGGGGGGTTAAAAGCTCTTCCGATTTCAAAGACGAATAATAATAATAAAAACACAAGAAGATCATATGTAAAATAGTCCGCGCGCAATGTTATGGCGCAAGTTAAACCGTAAAGAGGCAGGTGATTTGCAAGAGATGTATTCAAGTCAGGTCGTAATGATGGTTTTTGTAACACAATTCTGGATATTTTTCAATCGGATTTTAGCTTTAATTTCTTTGATGCCATAGGATAGTCTTTTTCCTTTCTTATTAATAAATGATTAGCTTCAGTGTCTCTTCGTGGTTTCAGCTTTTACTACATATCCCGTTCTCGCGAGAATAAGGGGAGGCTAGTCTAATCTTTCATGAGGCCGACCGGCCACAGGAGCATCGACTTGTTTCAAAATCCACTCTTTATTGTGTACACTGGTTACGTTGATTATACCCAAGTGCTAAGTAGATTTAAAGAGCACGTGAATAATTCATTCAACTCTGACATACCAGGAAATTGACGTGGTTTCATTTTTTTTTTGGTCTGACACAGACATGTCTTCTCCGCGGACCGACATGTCTGCCCATGGGAGTAAACTCTAACACAAATATTTGAGGGTGAAAAAAAAATTGGGAAATTTTTCTTCTGGAATATGACGCGTCTGAATATTAAAGTAAAAATAATTGAAAATTACCGTATTTTTGTGTGATAGAAATGACAGCATTTTTCTTCCTTTAACAAAAAAAAAAAAAAAAAAAAAGCCGTGTTGGAAAGAAAATGTCTTGCTGACGGTTTGATTCGACCTAGAAAATTTACCGAGAATCTTGTCAGAAAAAATATTTTGTTCGCTAGACTTTTTAATCAACCAGCAAATTTACCGAGAATCTTGGCAAAAAAATATTTTGTTCGCTAGACTTTTTAATCAACCAGCAAATTTACCGAGAATCTTGGCAAAAAAATATTTTGTTCGCTAGACTTTTAAATCAACGAGCAAATTTACCGAGAATCTTGGCAAAAAAATATTTTGTTCGCTAGACTTTTAAATCAACGAGCAAATTTACCGAGAATACTGCCAGAAAAAAATATTTTGTTCGCTAGACTTTTAAATGAACGAGCAAATTTATCGAGAGTCCTGTCAGAAAAAAATGTAAGCCTAATGAACTGTGATGTCACGTGACAACATAATCTGATGAGTGAAGCCACGTTAGAGGGCAGCACCGTGTTGTCTACCAGGGTCTGGAATAAAAAAGATCAAAGTTAGGCCGGAAGATGCGCGTGTCAGTGTTTTGTGCCACGTCAGACAAAGGTTGATATTGTACTCACCTTGTCCTGACCTGTCTTAACTAACTCAAGTAGCCTTTGGTATTTTTAGGTTAATTACACTTTCTAATCAATAAAGAACTAGTAAAAATCGTCCTTTCGGCATAAACCACGTAGGACATTTGGTAGATTTCGAGGGGTTTTAACCAAGAAATCTCTTTGTTTTTATTCTGTTAATCTGATTTCCTTTTTGACTTGTTCTATAATTATATATTGCTGTAGCGAGCACTGTTCGCGAAAAACGCATCGAATTAAAATATCAAGTTAGTGATGTTATACCCAGATTTCAAAATCATAGTTGAAATGGAAGATAACATCAATTTTCTCATTA